AATCTTTGAGACGCATTAGGTAGCAGAGAACTCAGTAGACCACAGAGAATTTTCCATTGCAGCTTGGGCCATCAGGCCCGAGACAGAGATACCAATATTTAGTCAAATTTGCGGAAATGATATTGTAGAAATCGAAAAATATCATTCGTTTTCACAATGAGAAGTAAAGAGTGCATGAGTCTAGTGAGAAAAAAATTTCTGAAAGTTTGACTGCTGTATAATATAAGTGCTATAGAAAATTGCGAAGAATGGAAATCTCAAAGCTAAAATTTCTTACTCCAGAATTCTCCATAATCGGTGGGAATTACACCAAAAATGCCAAATTAGCACTTAAAAAACACCCAGATCGAAAAGCGTCGAAAAAAATGAAATTGTGACAAGAAACCAGTCTTCAAAATATTGTAAAGACATTTCATTTCTAGGACTTATCATTCATTGATTGGGAGCACTTTCAATTTGCCAGCAAGAAGTTGGATAACTTTTAAAAGTGTGCGAGAAAATTATGTTCTGAGTAAGGAATCACCAAGTATAATAAAACGCGCTATAGCATTCTTCAACCTTACAAATGTTAAGCATGGACATGCTATTTCCAAGAAGAAAAGCTTTGTAGCAAGACCGGCATCAATATCATTGATGTATGATGATGCAATCCTGCCACCATATCCCATTTAAGTGTGGTCGCAGATCTTCAGAGAAAAAAGAGCATTTTTTTCATCGTGTGTTTCAACAGTGTCTTTGGAAATCTTGCAATCGACTGATAATTTTCAATCCATACTTTGTGTCGGTGCTTCAGGACTGCAAATAGTGCTTGTAATGTTCACATCATGCTTTTTTTTGCTAGCGCAAAATTACTGAAAGTCTATTGGGTTGGTGCAACAGTTCTGTCTCACCATTTTTGAAAAATCACAAAAATCACAACAATCACAACTGCTTGCTGTCTCGGCGAAGTTGCACAAAACTAATTTTGCTGGAAAGAGAAAATCATTCTCTTTGTAATAGTACACTTCATTGCTCAAGGATGAGCTTCCGAAATAGAAGCAGGAAAATAGAATCTGTCCAGCAAAATCAAGTTTGTGTGAATCCGTCGAGACAGGAAGAAATCATGGTTTTCCAAAAACGTTGAGACATTCTCAACCTAACATAAATGAGCGTTCGTATATACGTGCCTACTAACTGTTTGAGCAGTTGCGAGATTACGGAAGTTTACGAAGCAAATCAACTCGGCAGACTTTTTTGTATGTTTTTTCCTTCATAAGCGAGTTGAAAATTACCTGAATATTGAAATGTCATCTTGGAAGTTTTCCTCTGCTCAGTGAATCTCCCACTCAGCCAAAGTCTACTCTACTTTACTCTTCTCTAACTTTACTCTACTTATTGTTAGTTTTGAGATTCTCGAAACTACTGTGTTCGTGGTAATGAGAAAATGTAGCAATCACCCAAAAATATACATTACATTACATGCAACAGCAATATGCCTTGTCCTTCGCGTTAGGACCCGGATCAGGGGTTTATTTTATCTATGCTTATTTTGCTGTTCGTAGATGAGTACCAAATTGAGAAATGATGTGGATCTCGAAAATTTACGGGGAATACAGATTTTTATTTCTGTTCTAGCTTTCACTTTATGAACAGTATTTATTCCAAAGGTAGTTTAAATCGAACGAAACCTTTTTTGTAGCCATACCGATGTCCGTCATTGGATAGTCGTAAATCTTCGCAAATTCTCGAATTTTATGTTATTGGCTTGCGACATTGTAGTCGAGCGCTTTCGGTCGTGGAATTTAGCCAATTGCTTGAACTGGCTATGAGCTTGTCTTAGAAGAGACACATCGGGCCTAAGACGAAAAGATCCATAAACCCGTTATGCTACGGGACGACGACCATGCTTCCATATCTCATTGTTGATTTTCGTCTCCACTGATACCTAGCCCTCTACATAACATTTGCTTCGTTCTAAAAAATTTATTTGTTCAGCTTTTCAAGTTTATATTTGACAAATTTTACACTCTTTCTTCGTCGACCAGATTTCGCCAAGAACCTTTTGATCGTCTTTATGTAATTCTCAGGCTTGTTAACGACATTCCTTTTAAAAAACTCATAACGAGCCCAGTAAAGCCTAGCTCTTTAGATGAATTCTTCCTTCATGGCTATGTATAAGCACCTCTTCTAGTGTTCAGCTTGTCCAACCGCCTTTCATCAACAATTCCCATTCTATCTCTTGCCAAAGTTGCTCTAGCATCCTTGAGTAATCTAACTGGTTTCGGTGCTTCTAAACTTCTATTCTTTCTCTATTCTTCATTCTTATCCGTTTCGAGACGGCTGTCATAACTGCATCTTTCCCTCCAACTGCAACATGTCGAAGATTTCCATTCTTGTGCCTTCAACTAAATTTGCTATGTTCAATACTTTAAATATAAGAAGAAACTTCTATAATTACTAACTGTAGCCTAGGCGGTTATATCCTGGGAAAGATTTAAGTCAGCCAAAGAATGAAACACTGATAACTTCACATTTTTTTCTGATTTGCTCTCGAGAGATGAAGTGAATTAATGAATAATTTCCAATAAATAAACTGTTTTTGTGCATTCAAAATAAATTTTTCCTCAGCTTTTTTGTAAGAAAGATAATGAGAGATATAAACAGGCACAGTCAGGTGGAACCAATCCCCTAAGAAATGCTGCGCTGCTGTTTTGCTTGTGCAGATTTTAGGCAGGAGTGAGTTTTGACTACCAGGTATTATAATGAAAGTTACTCCAGCTCTTTGCCGTAAGGTGTATAAATTCAGAAAAAAGAAAAATTGGAATGAACCTTTGAAAAAAATCCATTACATCGTCGCTATTAACCGTTGGGAATAATTTCATCAGCTTTCTGAAGAAACTGCGGACCAACCGAGGTTGAGTATAGTTCTGTATTCATTTAGACAGTCGATGTTCACCATCATGTCTCTTATTTTTTCTTACGAAAACTTATACTTATTTGGAACTATCTACCAGTACATTAATAGCATAAAGCTATCAGTCAAATTTTCTTGAAGTGTTTTTACTGAACCATTATACTCCAAATCGTTTTTCAGACACACCCCCATACTTGTTGTCCTTTTGATGATTCTATAAGGACAACGTGATTATCTTTAGATTGATGTAAAGAGGCATGCTGAAATTTCAACCATCTTCTATCCAAAACATTAGTAAGCAATTAAATAGCCTCATAAACAAACGCATAAATAAATCTGCTCGCTAGTGGTATGTTTACAGTAGTATCAAATTTTGTAGTATCAAACTTTCTCTCACAAAATCTTCAGCTTACGAATATCGCGAATTCTAAATTTGAAAATTTGCGAGATCACTATGTACTTAATAGCTATCCAATCGCAAAGAGTTGGATGGAAAGGTGTAAACGTCGGGAAGTCCCCACTGGATATTAAATCTAATGAATCCACAAGGTTTCATCCCATTTTTTACGGAAAAGCTTCGGGAAAGAAGTGTAGATTATTATTCCCCTCGTGTGAAGGAAGTGTCGACAATTCATAAAATGCTACTATTTTCGTTCTATTTTCATTTCTGTCAATATCTAATACTGAATACTCCTCAGCTTCACATTGCTCCATCGAAATCAGTACCTTACCCATAAATCTCGCTTTTGATCATACTCAACAGACAAAGCCGTTACGCAGTCTTTCACCCACCATCGATGAGAAATGTCTATCTAGAGCTGGTAGAAAAAAATGCTACGCAAGCAAACAGAAACCAGATTGATTAAAGCCTTCAGCGCATCCCATTCGATAAAACATCTTAATCCATTTTTGGACGGCTCGGAAAGAAAATATCGCAAATGCGCAATGTTTTGAAGAACTCAGTAAGCTCCAGCGTGTGAGAAATTCAAAAGATTCTGCGTATATTTCAATCATTGGCATTTCTTTCAATTGGCAGTGTTGAATAGTGTAATGTAAGAACTAAACTTGCTAACGGAGCAAACTTGTGAACTAACAGACATTTGCGGTGGTCTTTAATTTAAGAAAAATCGGAATGGTCCAATGTGAGTCAATAAAGGTAATGAAGTCCTGGGTCATAAATCGAATGAAAGCTTTATTTTGATTTTACTGTCTTCAGTTATTTTGGTACTCCAAAGATTTCTTCTCTATACTCCATGTAAGAGCACTCTTGCCAAAGAATCTTCTTACCCTAATTTCATGAGTAGAGGACGCGGGAATTTTTTTAAATCGAACACAGACACGCCGAAGAGACTTTGCGACCAAAGAACTACTTACAGTGTGTTGCATATTGCTTAAGAGTATCGTGCTCGTTTTCCGAAACAAAGGAGGCGGCTGAGCGGCACACTTGAAAAATCGAAAAAGATGCGTCTTGTACTCGTGAATTTAGGGTAATACAATAAAAATAAAAAAGCGATCTGCTGTGAATTCAATAAGCTGTCCATTGAGCTTCATGTAAGGGACTTTACAAGGTTTTATGAGAGCTGAAAGGTTAATGGAAAAGCCTCTGGGCTGCTCAATGTGGACTTGTTCAGTGAAAAATCGTCAAAATCTGTATGACTGCTCTTGGAAACTTTCCCAAATCAGATCTCTTCCCAATTTTAGCTTTCACGAATGATAGCTCGAGTCGATTTCGTACCTGGTAGATTGTTGATAACTATACTTTCATTAGCATTTTCGATTAACAATCTATAACTTGCATGATAAGCAACCGATTACTAGATATAGATCTTATTTTAAAAACAATTATTCTTATAAGAAATCAAAATCAGTATCACTTTAATTGAAGTAAGAGACTTCCAAAATATCTTCCTCCATAGTCAGCAAATTTCTTTCCGTGATTCATAGATCTTGAACGCTGCAAGAACCTTGACAGCTTCGTCTCCTTCGGAGGAATTTGACAGACCGCAATTTTTTACCCTGTGCAAATGTTCAATCAACTCCGTGAAAGCAATGGTCAGATGTGTTTTTGAATAATTCGTTGATCAGCGTTACAGATTAAATGTGAAGCATGAGCATGGTGCCGGATATTAGTGCGAATCTGACAACGACCGTAACACCACTACTTCATCGACTTTTCTCCAATACTTCACTTGGTCACCGTCTCCTCGAGAGGTCAGCAATCATTTTTTGGCAAATCGTAGTGGGAAGAGTTTGCTCTAGACTTGAAAATCTCTATATATAAAGCAGAAAATCTGTGAGTTTGTGTGTTTATGCACATTCGGGTGCAGAGTGCGCAGGTTGTGCAGGGTGTGCAGGGTATGCAGGGTGTGCGGGGTGTGCAGGGTGTTCACGGTGTGCAGGGTGGGGAGGGGGTAAGTGAACATGCTGATTCGAATACATTATTGACAGGATCGGTCGGAGCTGGGTTTGCTAGCTCGTAATATTTTTAATTGCAGGCTAACGCTTGTGAATCTACGACATACTCTTTATCTGATTACTCCCTATGAAACTTCCGTGGAAACTCTAGAGGAAGTGCCCAATTACAATGTAGAGGTGAGAATCATTACAGTGTTCTTCATAAAAGCGGAATTGTCTTCTGATGCGAAACCTATATTATTAATGAAGAGTTGAGTACATGCAGCATGATATCGCCGCTCTACACCGTTAGAAAAAAAACTTAAAAAATTTACTCCCTCTGCTATCAATGGGTTGATGTAGTCGTAAGGATATCCAAAAAAGATCGTAATCGATGGCGTAAGATCTTGGACATACTCGCACGACATCATTAGATCGCGATCACTATTTGGTGATCTGCCATATGTTTGGAAACCCACTAACTAGTGCTTCATGGTATGTACAGCTTCTTGTAAACTCGATGGGTCAAGAATTCAGCAGCGGTCTATTATTTCGAAAGAGTGCAAGTAGCATTTTATCAATAGTAAAAAAAGATTAACAAATAGAATAAAATATAATAGATTTTCTCATATTTTGAGATTGTATGATTAGGAAAGGGCACAAGCCTGCGAAAAATCTTGGCTACTCTCCAAAACTATTGACGAAAGGCGTGGCATCAAAATCTACGGCCAAGTTCGATTTTCATCATTGTGATGTACGAAGAAGTTTATAGTGTCTTCTTTCTTCCTCCAAATACCTACAAAGAAAAACTCTCGAGTAAATTTTGGCAGAGATATAACAAGTTACTCGTCTATTATTCCATTTATGAAACGAAAGAAATGGTTCACTCATGAACGAAGTATAATAGCTACATAAATAAGGAGTTTGTATACCCACATTTATAATCCCACTCGAAGAGGAAAGAATGAGGAAAGATGACGGAGGCAAGTGCGCTTCATTCAGCACTCAACAACTTTGAAAGACGCTCGCACACTCCCAAAAGTTGGGCTCGACTATATGACTGCACTTAAAAAGTAGGTCCGTCTAGTCGAAGTGACCTTTTTATGCGACCCCTTTACCACTTTGAAGAGCAATGAAAGATGGTTCCCAATCCGTCTTCATTCTCTGCCAAGCGCCTCTGGACGCCGAATTATTTGCGTTCCTGAGGTTGAAAAATTGAATGCGCAACTCGAACATCGTCCAGATTGCTTAAATGATCCAGTGTTGATTATCAGAGCATTTCATTCAATAGGTAACTTCTGTCTTATACACTCACATAACATTACTTTATCTGAGCGCTGAATAGACCGTAATGTTGATTTTAGCACTTAGATTCTGCGTTCATTTTTTGCTCATAACTCGGCGTACAGAGGCGCTTGACAGATAAGGAAAACAGATTTGGAATCAGCGTTTGACTCTTCAAAGCGGTATAGGACTTATTAAGAGGCTATTTTGACTAATTGGACCCTCCTTCTAAGATGACAGTATTCAGCTGATTGGCGTCGTGCGGAATTGTCCCTACACAAGGCACAAGTATTGAGCAAAGTTTACCATGATATTCGAATTGCTTTGAAATTCAGAATAGTTATGCTATTATGCTATTATGCTTATGCTTATTTTTGTCGTCAGAAGGATCCTTATATAGTTTGCTAAGTTATAGGTTGTCTCATAATCGATCACATTTTTTAACCTCAGTTTTCCAAAAGCTGGTTTTCAAAGAAACTATTTCTCTAGAAAACTCGTTTATATGAACTCCCTTTACCCAGATTTCTTGCATGAGCATTCGTTTTCGCAAATTGCTGTTTATCTCAAAGGTTCGTGTTTATAAGAAAGTAGAACATAAAATCCCCCCCCCCACTCTCTTGTCTCTAAATCCATGAAAAAATGCTGGATTTGTTCCGAAATATATGCACAATGTTCGCAATGTCCCACGCTGCCAAGTTCTGAAAAATTTAGAAGCGGTTAAGGAACTCGCTCTGCAAGCTGAAGTAGACATAGTACAACTAATGATAGTAAAACGGAAGATTGTTCTCATTTTCAAAGGAAGAAAATTGGAGAATTCCAAAAAGAGTTTTTACTAGGGTACTTTTCTGTTCCTTGCAATATTTTCTTGCAGAAAATTTTCTAGAAGCAAGCTTTCCTCAAGTAGCAATTTTTGCTCCAGAACATCTTATTCGTAGTTGTTACAATTATAGAGTACGTATTGTATAGGCAAAAGTTTTCTGTACAAGTTCTTATTGCGTTCAATAAGATTATTTGAGAAGATTGCTGTGAGAAGCTCAACTTTAGAAAACGTGCACTAACTGTGAGACAACCTAAAAATTATATAGTGGATTTTCCAAGGACAGTATGCAAGCATCGATAATTGGCTGTAACCATTGTGAGAGGGATGACGTGCAATCAGTGCGGTCCATTTCAATGCTTGACATCGGTTTCTAACCCGGGAAATGAAAAACCAGCGAACCATGAACTTCTTTTTGCTTGGAGCATTTTGACGCTTAGAAGACTGCAAAGGATCTGGTCTGCGCTTCTTTCTCTTTCGCCAAATCACTCTGTCTTCCCATAATAAAGCAATTATGTAGGTTTGACGATTTGAGTCTCGACAATCGAACCGGACAGCACTCAGTGTTTTTCCTAATACTCATCAAGAAACGTTCAAGAGTCCAGAAACGCCGACTGAACAACGGATTTGCAATTTACAGGTCTCAGCATGGTGGATGACGTTTGTCGTCGTTGAGTTCTTCATTTTGCAAATCTCCGGCCACCATGATCGATTCGCGCTCAACGATTCGATCACATCAATCTGTGCTGGCATGCTGAGTCAGTGCTTCAAGTGAGTTGATAAGGACGAAAAAATCTCAGAATTGAATTTTCTCGCGTACACACCCTCAAAAGAATCCAAGGCAGACAATTTTTCCTTGATATATTTGGCGGCTGATACAAATAGTGCCTCTGCGGTGCTGACAACACTTGCGCGTAAAAATAGTTCAAAGAGCGGCGTTTCAAAAAAAAATTGAAGCCCGGCCACTTTATTCGCGCAATTATTGTAGGCAGCCCAAAAACACCCATTTTGATCGTGGGATCTATTAGAACAGCAAGAATTCTGGAAAAATCCCTTAGATTAAACTGAAAGTGTATCTTGATGTTTTTGGAGAATCTATTCTCGATTTTGAGCCATAACGTCACAAACATTAATTTCGTTTCTGCTGAGATTTTCAAAATCCTTTGAAAATAGCGGAAAGGCAGCGATTAACTTTCAGATTTGGTGGACGAACCGTAGCAATTTTCCTCTATGTTTTCATTTGGAACAATTTCCGACTTATTGAACTCCCATGGGAATCACCGTGGACATGGCTGTTATGTTTGGTATTCCAAGATTTGATGTATTATCTAGGACATCGGGCTGTGCATGGTATGGTTTTTTTTTTCAAACTGATTCAATAGAGGCATAATCAATTCATCGATCATTGCGCAAAAAACATAGATGGGCAAAAGGCCAAAAAATCTAGTAATTGCGACTACTGTCATGTGTATCTTCCCCCTATTTTCCCCCTGCTTTCGTCTTATCCTTTTTTCTTTTCGATCGCAAGTATACAAAAAACAATTTTGATATTCATGCTGCTTTTGGCAATGATTATTTTATAAAAATCCCGACTACAAGCTACATATTCACCTCCAATTAACTAAGCCACACGTTACACTGATTGCAGAAGCCGGTTTCTTTTGGGGACTACACACCATCCATCACAGCTCGGAATATTATAATTTTTCCACGGCGCTTCGTCAAGCCGCCATACAGGATGCTGGTTTGGCCATCTATGACGTTCTCCAGGTACTTTACAAATTTTCTGAGCGACTCTTTAATGCTTTGGCCAAATCACATTGCAGTTTATGCACCATTTTTCTCAGAGGGTACATGAAGTAAAAAAATTCATTCAAATCTGAGAGTAGACACATAATCAGCTTGAGGCCTATCATCGGCTAAATAGCCTTGGAGAGCATGATTCTATTGTTCTTTGTGAAGCACAGCTGTTCGAAAACCTGCGAATTTAGCGAGCAAATTTTGTAAACCATAATCAAAAACTAAGGACGTTGAAGATTCCTTGGAAGAAAATATCTGCTTCCTATCCAAAACTTGATTTTAGGCTTTCTGCATTCCTCCGCCCATATTTCTGGTCCATCGATATTTCAGCGAAATCCTCCAATTTGTCATGCATACTAGCGTAGGTTCACATATTTTATGACTTTTATCAACTTCGGAGATTCACTTATTACTGGGTCCATCTTTTTTGTCAAAGAAAAAACATTTTTTTGCAGCTAATTGATGACCTGGGGCCTCTCGGCATAGTGTTCAACACACCATCACATCATCGCGTCCATCATGGTCGAAACCCGTACTGCATAGATAAAAACTACGGTGGAGTCTTTATTATCTGGGATAAGGTGGGTGATTACGCAACGAATGGGAAACCGGATTCTGCTGCTTCAAGCGTGGAAACTGCTGTCTAGCATATAAAGCCGAAATTGAATTTCAGATGTTCGGAACCTTCGCAGCAGAACGCAAAGATGATCCGCCCATATATGGTCTTGTACATAACGAAAACACTTTCAATCAGATATATCTACAAGTAAGAGGAGCCGAATACTGTGGCTGATGCCAAAGCTTGATTTCGGAACTTTTCAGGCTCATGTACTTTGGGACATGATCTACTTCAAGGGACAGATGAAGGACGAGAAAGGTCAGCCGCTCTTTCCTGGAGTGCTCAACAAGGTAAGTGAACCTAGCTCTACGGTGAGTATAGTGTACTTGCGTTTCCGACAACATTTGCGCGTAGATATACGATGTGCGCTCTATTGGCTATTTTTCAAGCGCGAGCATCACGTTGTGGCCAACACGCAATATGAGGTTTGTTTCCGCGCAAATGTTGTCGTCACTGCAAAGGCACTATATCATCAACCGTCAAACCTACTAAATTGAGATTGCGCTGCATCTCTGAAATATCGCTCTAAATTTCAGATTAAAGCAGCTCTGTACCCTCCGGGGTGGTTCCCAGGTGTTCCAGTGAGACCATTCTTTCACTGGTTTAGTTTGGTCGATACTGCATACGGCGTCCCAGAGGTACCGTTCGCAACAGTTTCGAAAATTTTACAGTCCTCAGAAAAGTTTTAGCCCGAAAAACCCGTCGTGAAGTACAACCCGCCCCTAAACTGGACAGTTAAACTCTATGTGCTTGGACACTTCGTCCTTCTTCTAGCGATCTTTCTTCACTTCGAATATGATCGATCAAAGCTCGATTACGCAGACTTCACACTGAAGATCGCTTTCTTCCTAATCACCATGCAAGCATTCAGCGCCTTTTTCGACAAAGTGTGAGTTCAGAAGAGTTCGTACCAATATTCTCTTCAATAATAGCGCAATTCAGATGGTACGCACCATCGTTAGAGATCTCGCGTTGCGTTGGAGTTGTAGCATTTCTGTCCTTCAAGCTGACTGACCATATCGGAGTGGGGCCACATCGGCTATTTATTATTGGTGTATATGGTAGTTCAGCTTTGCTCTGGATAGGATGCTGTATAAAAGAAGTAAGTCCTTTTTTATTACAAAAACTGGAAGAAAGGAAGTACTGTCACTTACTGAAACCACCAATTACAGAAGCTCACGGCAAAAAGTAAAGTCTGCGATAACAACAACGAGAAGAAAATCGCCATTTCGGTAGGCTTTCATAACATAAACTATTACCAACTTATCATTACCATTCCAGATCATATCCAAGACTGACTCACTGGCGACAGCTATTCCATCAACACCTCAGCCAGCTGCACAAGCCACCGGTAATGGCGCTTTATAAGATATGCCAGCTAACTGCCATTGTATGTACATTTCGTTGATTATGTTGACTAATTTATTACAGTAAATGTAACACTACTCTTCTTCAAAGATGAGAATCGATGTTAATAAAGATAAAAATGAAGCAATAGAACTCACAGCTTATACTGAGATTGGAAAAGAAAAAACTTCACACGGCAAACTATATACAGGAAAAAATAAAACCAGAAGTACAAAAACCAACAAAAAAAATTGTAAGGTATTAGGAAAGGTAGGAGACTGAGGCAGGAATTACATAAAATGCGCAGACAACATCCACGATCCGGCTTCATGGCAAGAAACAAGAGGAAGATACATGCACGAATACACCGTAGAAATGAGATTATTCTTGGGATATCTTGATTAAAATAAAAGATAAGGCTCATCAAGGACTCGCATAGAAAAATGGTAAGCAACATCATGGAGAAGAAGAAGGGGACTTCGAATAAGAGCGTTTGCGCTTCTCCCTGAACAATAACTGCTGTGATAATAAGCCTTGCACTGCACTTGAAGCGAAAATTCAAAATGGACTACGATGGTTTATTGACCAAACAAACATAGCAAAAATTCATCAGGGTTCAAAAATGCAAAATGCACCTGTCCTGTATAATAGTTTTGTATACAATTTTGTGAACTCCACGTGTTATAAAACACACGCAGAAGGTACACATCCAAAGTTGGGACACATCAGTGGTGAAAAGTAGGTCAAACAACAGGGACAAGCTTTTCAACTATTATACTAGAAAAAAAAGAAGCGTGTCATATCCATCACAACTATTAGGGATCGTTCAGACCGCGCACAAAGGCGCACAAAGGCGCACAAAGGCGCACGAAGGCGCATGAAGGCGCATGAAGGCGCACGAAGGCGTGTGTGTGTGTGTCGAGACAAACAAGACGAGACGAGACGCGCCTTCGTGCGCCCTTGTGCGCGGTATGAACGATCCCTTACAAAAAATTGAAGGCTTACCGTGCGGTATGCGTGAACCTATCGTCATCTTTCGCACCAGTACTACCCTGAATTCAACAAATACATCACTCTTCTGTATTAAATTAAGCTGAATAAAAGTCACTTTGTGCTCTCCGCCTTCTCTGTTTCCAGTATTTAGATGGTCAGAAGAGTTGGTACGCATGCGACCTGTAAGAAATTTCATGCTTGACGCTTTCATTGGCTTTTCTTCCAAAGAGAATTTTGACATTGTGTGGAATAGAAAGAAAAACAAAGTTTTATAGAAACCTTTAGCTGAGATGCGGCTGCATCCATATCCATCAGTCATGTAATCTTCTGGAAAATGAACTGTCAAATCTCCTGCTATTTATGTACAACTGGCCATTTACCATTCTTATCATAGGGGGCGGGTTGAGTGTTTTCTTGATTTTCGTGCCCGTCATTATTATTTCTGTCACTTCTGATCGGACTAGCACTGCGACTCCGGGAATGAGAGATTGCAGATGAGCTTTGACTAGCTGCAATAAAAGGTCTGAGAAAAACTGAAGGTCTCACGTATGCTGGAATATGAGGGTAATATGACTGGTTCATTATGCAATCAAATGCACTAATAGGGAATAGATGATCAAGACTCAATTCCCTCGCATCAACAAACTTGACCCCCACTACCTACTGATGAACACCAATCCACCTGACTACTAACAATTCTCAGCAGTGTACTGTCATGAGTAGATTTTGTTTCAAAAAAGGAGCGTTTTCGCGCAAACTCATGGTTCAGTTCCTTATTTCATAGTAGCTAAATCCTTGAGTACGTACCTGGAGGAGCATCATTTCTTGTTGGCGGTGGACTTCCACTCACTGAACGGGAGTACGACCGACTACGGCGCGAAATGGCACCTAAAATTTCAAGTGTATTTATTGCACCTCTATCAAGAGTAAGATACAAGACGAACAACCTGCTATATCCAGTCATGCTATATATTTATAGGAAAGTACTAGAACAAGAACATGCCTGTGTTGCTCTTTTTAGCGGGTGGAGGGCTGCTGCTGCCTGATTTCGAGTAGGAGTTAGCACGCGCAACTCGAGCAGACCCGCCTAAAAAGTTGAATCAACTGAGATTCAAACATACAACAGAATAACCTTTGTTCTTGGGTGGTGGGCTTCGACTTCCCGATCGAGAATACGAACGTCTGCGTGGAGAGTTGCAACCTTAGTTATGCATAAGAGGACATATCACGTAGCTCAAATACCGGAAGGGCAGACCATTATTTTTAGGAGTTGCGGGACTTCCACTACGAGATCGAGAGTACGAGCGGCCCCCTGCATTGTTGTCTGGAATGAATGTGTGAGCGACAAGAAGTGTGAACGGATTCCTTTTCATTGATAAACCTCTAAAAGAATTATTTCTGCTACGGAAGTTACCATCTCCTCTGCCTCGGTAGCTTTGGAAATCGTTGTCACGTCCTCCAAAATCATTATCTGAAAGAAGAATATGCAGAGATAAAATGGACAATTTTTTAGATGTCTTATCAGAAAGAAAACCTGCACAGGACATATAAAACATCCACCTTCAAATCTTCCTCGACCGCGACCTCGCCCGCGTCCACGAAATCCACCCCTATCACCTCTTCCTCCTCTATCTCCTCTCCCGCGAAATCCGCCGCGTCCACCCCTTCCTCTGTACTCACGATTACCGTTCTGATCTGAAACATAACAATCTTTAGAAAGGTTACTTTTTCATTGTGACCAAATCAACCGAGGTTTCATGCAGTTTGCTAATCTAACGAATGTTTCAAGCTTATCAGGATGTTTGCCTGCCATGTGCCAAACAAAAGCAACAATGTTGTTGTTATTTTCTTTGAACGATTGAACCAGTAATCTCAAAAATGCTAGTTGCAGGCGCGCTCGCTTCGGGAACCGCGGTTTCCGCTATCTGGTGATTTTTGGATGCACCTTACGATTCCTTAAATAAGACTAGTGAACCAGCAATTGAAGGTGCTAGTAGCATGCGCGCGCTACGGGACCGCCACGCGGTTTCCCGCTATGTGCACATTTTTGAATTGCGCTTACGATTCTTTATATATTAGATTTCTTGCCGTGACAATACATCACCGCACGAACAGGCGACATAATTGTCTACCTGAGGAGAAGGACAAACAGCTGCGTTGTTGCAGGTCTCCTAACCAGTAGATGAATTAACAGATGTTGAAGAATAAGCTGATGACAGACGACCAAGATAACAGGGAAAAAAATGAAACCTCGCTTGACAATGGGTCGAGATAACAGAAAAGTGTACTCGAAATGATTTCAAAAACTGTCGTACTTTTATCCGATGAGCCGCCACCATAACGATTATATCTATCATCTCCTCCAGAGTCAAGATCTGTAACCGTTAATTGAACGGACCCGAAATTCACTGTCTCTATAAACAGTGGTAAATTAGAGATCGTGATCCATGCCTATGTGAAATTGAGTTTGAGGACAGAATTAGCTCAGATTGCAGACAACAAGATACAGCTTCAAAAGATCACTAAGCGTAGCACTAACCTAGGTCTTGATAGCTGACATCACTTCTTCTGCTGCTGAATACGGGAGTGCTCGTAGAAGGCGCTGGAAAAAAGCAGTGTACATACCGTTCTCAACACAGAAGCAAATTATAGTAAAAGGCTCAATTTTTACTTCGGATGCAAGCGAGCGTTTCACAAAGAAAATCTAATCTGGCATAGCCTGAGCAACGACTAGGATTTTACTGTCCACTTCTACCATGAACATCGAAAGCTTATGATGCTGCCAAAAAACAGAGGTGCGTTCCAGCAATTCCGATCAAATTCCCTCGATAAAACAATAGCAAAAGCTGGAACCTGGTATGGGCGGAGTGTATGGGAAAGCGGCACTTTCTGGCACCAGACGGACTCCTTCACCTGTAAAACAAAAAGTTACGAATGGCAAACAACAAGACAATGTCGACAGTTGCAGATGACTGCACCCACCTGTAACGGCTATCATGTGCTGATTAGCGAAACGACCAAAGTCAACACAATCGCGATACTCTTGATCGTTTAAAGGTACGGTAAAAACGGATTTCAGATACTATAAATGCAGATAAATGTAAGAAATAACGACATTTCAGAAGCAAAAACATTGCCAATCACCTGGATATGTCCAATTCCAGTAGGATCGTTGATGCAGAGCCGATGGTGACTTTTGTTAACATGGTAGGCGTTGCAAAAATCGCATTTGAAGTTGAAATGCACTTGCGTTCTAAAAAAGGCTCACAGATGAATGCAGTCAGAAAAATTCTTTCCCAAATGAATGAGACTCCTCCGATAGTGTCTTCCAGATATAAACAATCTAGATAGAAGGAGGGAAGAAAGTGCAGAGTGAAGATAGGAAGAGAAACCAGATTTCTTTCCAAAAGAGATGAACGAAGAAGAAAAGTTCTCCCTCCCTTCAGAATTTTATAGCAAAGGTAATTCCATCAAAAATTGAATGTCAGATTTTCAGAAGTTACAAAAGTTGGAAATTTGTTTGAGTATACAAAAAAAACTTTGGATCTGGAGCAAGTGTCCAAAAATATTCATATAAAGATATATTCATGTGGAATGTTGTATGAACAATATATGAGCAATAAAACTGTGAGAGGCGGATATTGGTACGACCAGGTTTATAGGAATGTAACAACACAGCTATATTACCTTCTCTAGCTTTCAATAAATGTTACGAGTGCGCAGGAGACTCGAAAAGCTTACAAAAAAAACGCATCAGTACGAAGATAGCAGAAAAGAAAAAAAGATCTCCGCTAACTGACTTGAACGTTTCGCAGAAATGAAATGCTTGATGTTCGATTGCACCCATCATGCTCATAGGGCGATTGTCCAGGCATCCTTTGAAGTTGCAGGCGAATTTGAGTTCATATCCGAGGGGTTCCTAAAAAGAGACGTATGAGATACAAAACTAGAAGACTAGGGACTACAAACCTTACAAAAATTTGCAACAGCAGCCATAGTAAAAATCCCAAGGCCAGTCTGTTCTATCGTTCAATTCTTCTCACTAACAATGACTAGTTCTGTAGATATACAAGCAGAAGAAAAATTCTGGACGAAATTAGTAGACGGATGCGATGACAAATTATGTACAATGCTACAACACTGCGCAGTTACAGCTGGCTTCAATGAACTGGGAATAAAGAATTTACAAGCTGACAACATAGACATGCAGAAAATTCAACTTATTAAAGTCAAAAGAGTAGATATAGTCAGTCAACATGCCTATTAAAATTTAAAATGCTGCATTTTTAGAGTTGGCAACAACAAACTGGCTTTTTGCTGATGGTAGGAGAAAAAGCTCTAGATACAGGAAAACCCAACGAAAAAAGTAAAAGGGTGACCTTTACTGGGTGTATGTCAAGAGGCGCGATTTTTATTGCCAGCTGGACACCAAATAGCACATTATAAGTGTTTTACAACTTTCTGAAAGTATATGAAATTTAGGAAAAGATACATTAGATAGTTGCATGGGTTGCTCAACCTTTATACTCAGAAAAAAATTCAAAACAGCAATTTTTAAGGTCAAAAACCCATTAAAATGCATGTAAGAACAAATTCGTAGATATTTCAATCCGTTTTAGAGCAAAAACCGTGAAACTCAGTGAGTGGTAACCTCAGACAGATGGTAAGCCAATGCACTTCATTTGGTAATTTTCAGAGACTCCCATAGCACTAAAATCGGAGAAATCGCGCCTCTTGACCGTCTCCCACCTTTACTTAGGTAAAGCTTTACGAGTTTTTACAATTAGGTTTTTGCAGGAAAAGGAGATGCTTGCGAGAAAAAATATAGTAATCTCTCCTTTTGATGTCTATTGAAAGCCTCAGTCTTTCTCAATTCCTTAATTTTGTTATGACAAATTGCGTTGCTTGGAGATTATCTACATTACATGAGTTTCCAATGAATAAACATTGGCTAAACAAAACAGATGAAGTAGATTCAACAGATTCGACAGATTTTTACACAACAGTCTTCTCACACTGATGTGAGAAGAAGCAGATTTGATAGGATATAAATTACATTTACTATAACGACCACATTTCCATGGTTGTAAAACAACACATCCACTTCCGAACAGCATATCTACATATGCATTAAAGAATAGGATATAGGTAAATAAATCTATATATATATATATATATATATATATATATATATAACTCAATGTCTGTGAGGATGTTCGTTTAGTTGTTCGTTCGTTATAGAAACGCACGCCACTGAACCGATCCGGCTGAAACTTCGCACACGTATATTTTCGACCCCGGCGGTGGTTTAGCGCTACTTTTCGCTGCAATTCGCCAGGCCATTCTATCGATTTATTGATTTGTTTACTCAAACCTAAGAGAATGAAGGGCCATCATGGCAACCGATCATTTTTACATATAAGCACGTAAGCAGGGGCGGTAAAGTCCATTTCAGTCTTAAAGTTGGTAGGGTGCGGCAATTAGTCTGAAAGCGCTTTATGCGCATGTTAGAAGAAATCTAGAGGCGTAAGTTTACAAGTTCTGTTGGCTTAACTAACTTGAAGTCTCGGGTGAGACTGGGGCCACAGCTAGTACAGAATAAAATGATTGTACGACAAAAAGAATTCCAAACTGGAAAAAAAATGAAATCGAGATGATCAGGATGAAGCGGTCGTAGTAATGAAACAGATAAAAACAAACACAGCCCACTTGATAGATGATTGAGGAGGAGCACTTGAGAAAACAGACATGCGATCATGCACGTGCGCGACCGCTCACAAGGCATTTTGCCGCGAGTGACCGCAGCTTTTGCACTAGCAACTGCAAAACCATCAATCGATAATCTGGTTTCCTTACTTAGTATTCTTCCCGAGAAAGCGCGGACCCTAGCCATCCAGATGATCGTGAGCAGAAATGTAATGAAAAGCATGAGATGCTTGTCCAGCACGACTTTTTCCATTCTTGTCAGATCTATCCAATAATTCTAACCTGTCCATGCTCAGCTGTTTTTGAACCTTGGCATTCATGGGTACTATGTAGTTGCTTGTCTGGTTTGAGCGACTAAATAAGATAGGTTTTCGTTTGCTAATGTTTCGGCATCAGCATTTACACCTTTTAAGCCGAAGTTATTCGCAGTCCATTCCTTCACAAAGGACTTACATCACTAATCGAAAGAAAGAAAATCCATGATGCAATGAGCATTATTGACTTACAAAGCTCATACTCACCTCAGATAGTGCCAGGATCAAGGGGTAGCTAGACCTTTGCATGAGAGTGTAGCGGTAGTAAGATGTACTGGCATGAAATTAAACAAGGGAGAAAGGGGGGGGGGGGGAAGGGGCGAGGATAGCGTCCAGTCATGCATGTTATAATTCTCACTCTTTTTATACCTACTCCATGTTACAACGTTGCTGTAATATCGGAGGTACAAAGAGGTACGGATAAAAAGTCCCATGAACAGCTGTTCCACGAGCATGAGATGCAACATTGGTTTTATCTGCAAAGTGAATTACGTCCCAACATCTCCTTTTCTACAGAAAAGGGTCCTCGAGCTGTCGAACTGATGACACACTACGATCTTTCGCTTCAATAACATCCACTGCAAACATAATATGCGCGGGACACAGTGAAGCCTAAACGTCAAGTAGTCCTTTGCTCGTGTTATCAGTGTTCGAACTCTCTTATTTGTGGCCTAGAGAATGCTGACGAAGATGATCAAAACTCTGCATTTTTTTGGCGTAGCAGCGATTTTCTAGGGGCATGGGACAGTAGCCGATGATGAAGAACGACATACGGTAGTAGGTAGTGGATAGCTTTGTACTATGTGATGAATTAGTGACGACGAGTAGGCGATCTCCAATGCCCCATTATTACAAGATGTGGGGCGCAGGTCCCCGATTCATTCCTTTTTGAATCTTTGTATGTAGTAATTTTCATGTGAACTCCGGTGGAATTTCGTAAAGCAATATATAAACAGAGGAGTTATTTCTCAAATCTACTTGAGTAGCCCTCTGTGCTGGTTAAATAACACCATTTCCTAGCTAGAGTTCGATTTGCTTCTAGTGGCTGGGCTACTATCAATCACATCAAAATGCTTTCCTCGCCTCAGTGTCCGATTTCTCACATTGACGTTATATTGACGTTCCATCGACTCCTAGATCAATTCGTAAGATAACGCTGTAAGCTTGCAAACTCGAATGTCAGCGCTGTTTTCTTCGACATTCGGAAAGCTTGAAGGGAAAGCAACGTCTGACTAACCCGCACTAGACTGCTGTCTTCACGAAACGGGGAATGTATTCTAGGACGGCGGAACACATCATCTCTCAACAGTCCTTGATGGTAATGGTAAGTTGTGTAAAGGTAGGGGAGTTAAGGAAGGGGAAGAAGAGGGAATAAAGGAGTTTATTTCTTCTGCAAACACTATCAATCACATCAAAATGCAGGACAATGCACACGGCAACGCCGCCGTAAAGAAAACAAATATAAAACTCTGCCAAACCGTGACATGCTTCGGCTGCGGCCATTACAGTAATCTGACATAAATTTCGGATTTCCTTCTTCTCTCCCATTTCAAAAGCAGCCAATATAAACGACAATTTTTCGACATACCGTGTTTTCCCCAAAGTCTACATGAATGCTCTAATAACATTCTAAAAACATCCAGGACTTTAGGAACTTACTAGGCCTACTTCTCGACTCTATCGCTAGATCAGCAAACAGTATACCGCTTCGTGAAATGAGGATTTTTTTACGGCTTTCACACCCGTAGATGTACCCTCCGTACCATTGGGAAGTGCGAGTGCGGCGTGGGTGGGGCTCAGGACCCGCGCTGCTGCCTCGCCTGGGCTCTGCAAGTCTTCGCGAGCGTGGTCTCCACTCATTTTCTAGGCTTAATTAGCAGTCAAAGCCCCGCCTTCCCTACGCTCGTGGTGGCAAAATGATTAGAGAGCACGCTCGCGAAAGAGGTGCAGAGCCCAAGCGAGGCGACCGCGCAAAACTCGAGCCCCACCCAGCACCCGTCACTTCCAATGATACAGAGGGTACGATATAAATGACTGTAGTTCTCACTTTTCGTTCATCCCAGCGCTCATCTCCGCTTTTCCACCATGATAGTGCAGCATTTACCACGAAAAGCACTAGAGTAATCTCGTTTGTTCATTTCGACTGCGACTTGGGCTCGAACTTGCACGTCGGCCGCAGCAGACGCGGCATCTCGATCTGGCTGACTTCGATAGAACACAGCATCGTCCCGCCGTGAGAGACAAAAAGATCACAGATACGACATAATGGAGCGACTAATGGAACAAAAGAGAAGGAAAACAAGGATCGTTAACTAAACTGGATATATAGACCGCAAACAATACCGACATTGGGATGGCGTACAGGCGTACATTCACACGCAAGCTCTCGCGTCGCATTGCGACGGCACAGTATCATGTCGTGACAGGACCCGCGTTCCATCTCTCTCCTCATCCTTGCCGATCTCTGCTTGAGGAAATGTCAGCACCATGGGCTAAAACCGCCGCCAGTGCGGTGTGTTTCCCACATGTGATGTTTCTGCACCGGGTGGGGCAGATTGTTGTAGGTGCATTGGTCCACATCGTGCTAATTTGTCTCCCGATTGCGTCACATTTTCATGTTCATGCGAATTCCCCCCAAAAAGGTACAAATAGCAGCGCGAAAACCGTTTGATTGAGTCTGTGTCACGTGCTCTCTTTTCCTAAGCGCTTGATTGAGTCTGTGTCACGTGCTCTCTTTTCCTAAGCTCAATCGCCACGCCTCAGCTTTACGCTACGGCGCGCGTATTGCTTGGACATCCAAAATGGCGTCATCAACTGAGGGTTCGCGCGCGAGGCCCTCAGTTACGCATGCGTAGTTTTTAAGCGAAATGGAGTATGTAACTGACATCGACTGCACTCCCTAATCTAGCTGACCAATAATCTCCTAATCCCAGACGTTGACGCTCAAGTATAGGGCGTTCGAGAAATCGTGACGATGGCCGACTGATCGTGACACGACGCACTTTCATTTCTTAATTTCTATCTTCTTTTTTCTGCTTACATATGATAGTATTCAGACAGTGGAAGTAACTGAGCTGGACGTTGAGTTGGTGCCTGTTTGTATGGGTGTTTTATGTCCCTGTGTGCGCAAAGACCGCAGTCAAACTCGCCGTGACGATTTTGAGAATGAACCATACCTGCAACCTGCGCATACCTGATAAATCCGCTTT